TTGAAAACTTGAAACTGCTTTATTTAAAATGCTATTGCTTAAATCCTTAATGCCTAGGTGTGGATTACGTTAGTGCAAAAAAGTTCTTCTTTTCACTGACACGTATCTTCTCTTTGCTAAGTGGCACATGAGATCATTCTTTTAATTCCGAGAAAACAAGTCTATTCTTCCCATACTTATACCCACTATGATTAAGGTAGGCATACATCCAGGGTGTGATACTACAAAGACGGCAGAACATGACTTATGGTCAGTGAGAATGAAAGTGTATTTCCGTCATAAGCAGAAATTTTATTTTTTATGCTGGTGCTTGGGTCAGTCCAGGAATGGTTTTTGTGCAAAAATACTCTTGCAATTTTAAAATACTTGTCTCCTGGTTTCGACTCTGCATTGTTGTATTTGCCTTATGCATGACTCACTGTGTGCCCTGTTCCACTCTTTACAGATTGACATTCAGATTCAAGATGCACTGCGCCGCTATCATCAATGTGCTACCATTCAGCTGGACTTCCAGCTTCCAGAAAGGTTCAACCTAACTTACGTCAGGTTAGAGCATTTTGCCTCTAGTATTCAAGCAGACCATCAAAAAAGATTAAATCCTTATTATTGTGTTATCTTACATTTGAACTTTTTTCTTTGGAAAGCTCTTATACTTTGTAACTAATGAGGCTTCAGTCAAAATGGACATTTCGTTTGTACCCGCTCAGCGTTTATTAGTCCAGGATTACTGACTTTGCAACAACTATTGTAAGTTGATGAGCTAAGCTGGAGTGCAAAATCTTTGTTAGTCTGGTCAGAAAATGTTTTATGGCCAAAATACCACCATCGTCACAGATGGATTTACTTTTATGGTATTTCACGCAAATATTTTCTGTACTGCACTAACAAGGCCATTGTTTTCCTCTTAAAGGAAAAAAGCTTTCAAACATTTTCTCACTCCATTTCTTTTTTTTTTCTCAATCTTTCTTCAAAAAATGTTTTTTTTTTCACCTCTGTTTTTATATATTTTGTTGTTGTTGTTGCAGTGGTGAAGGCGATGAAAAGAAAAGGCCAGTCATTATTCACCGTGCGATTCTGGGCTCTGTAGAGAGAATGATCGCTGTATTGACAGAGAATTTTGGTGGAAAGTGGTAATCTGGTTCACTTTGCCATAAAATCATTAGTGTCTTCCCACAAGGTATATTTTGTGCGTTCTGTCTTGATTTCATTTGTTTTTGTTTGAATTCCAGGCCGTTCTGGCTGTCACCAACTCAGGCCATTGTGATTCCTGTGTCTCCGAAATATGAGGAGTATGCAATCAAAGTATGTATTTAGTTATGCTACAAAAACTACGTAAGATACTATACAATCAAAAAAAAAA